GAGAATGTGATCTGTGGTTCACAGTTTGAAAAAATACCAAATTAGGGAGACTACACATTCTAGATCTAGAAAGATTTAAGACAATAATAAGTTCAGCAAAGGAGGATATTGGTAAAGATTATGTTTGGGAGTAAGGCCCCAGGAGTTGAAGACTGTTGAAGATACGAGTGATGAAGAATGAAGGCAGAAAACCTTTCTAAAATTCTGAGGCAAACCTGTGATGACCCAGTGTAAGGGAATCACAGAACTCAAAGTAGCAACAAATTGCCCAGTGGGTTTGAGATTTCCAAATGATAAAAGTATACAATATTTTAAAAATTAATTAATTAATGTTACAGTATAATGCCGTTTGACATATAGTACACAAATGGAGCACAACTTCTCCTTCCTCTGGCTGTACATGGTTCAGAGTCACTCCACTAATGTAATCATACATGTTTATACTGTAATAACGTCTGTCTCTTTCTACATCCCCACAACCGCACCCCTCCCCTTTCCCCTTCTACACAAACCAAAATTCCTTCATTCCTCCCTATGGAGTACCCAATATTGACTTATTCCAGTTGAAGTATGAAAAGGCTAGCCTCAGAAATCATGCAACTGCTGAACCTAAATTCATTATAACATAAAAGAAAAAACGTTTTCCATAAAATTCCAAATTCACAGTTGCTAATTTATTATCACTCATAACTATTCAGAGTGATAGCTAAATAAGATAGAGAGGTGGTAAGAGAACATGTGTGGTGTGAGGGAGGGGACTGTGTATGGGCTGAACAGCCTTCCTGTCTTCCTTCCTTCTCAGCTTCCTGCCTGCTCTCCTTCCCGCTTGCTTTCCTGCCTGCCTTCCATCTTTTCTCCCTTTTTAAGCTAGATTGTACAAGGAGCTCTATTAAAAACCAGTGACATCTATAAATATTTGTTCACCACACAATGGAATTGTGGAGGGCACAGTATATACAAGAAAGCCATCAAAATCAATTTACTATTGTTAATTGTGGATCACGGTTCTTGCTACATTAATGCCTATTCTTTACTTTCCAGTAATGGACTAGCTGCTTTCAAAGACCAAGTATAGGTCAGATCATACTCTGTGTGAGATCACAAAAGCAAGGTAATGGTGGCATTTGAGATTTCCTGTGTGCAGGTAATTGCGCGTTTCTAATAAAAATAATGTACAGACTTCTTTTAGTCCCTTTATTGATGCCATGCTTCACTTTGCTCTGTGTCAACTGCCAAAATGACAAAGAACCTGCTATGATGAATGCTCATAGATTAATTCACATAGAAGACTGGCTGCCACTCTGGTAAGTGGATTGTTTTTGTTATCTGAATTGTGCCATTTATTACTACACAACTCAAAGTCTACTCTTAAAAAGGACTAATTGGCAACAGCAAGTACTGACTGATGGTTGAAAAAGAGTTTCCCTGAGGATAAGCCACAACCTAAAAGCAATCAAATAATATACACATTACTTTGGTGGTGACTACAACAGTGATGAGCAAGGGTATCTCATAAATAAAATTAATGTAATATAATTTTCATGTCACCTGAGTGAGAAGGCATATAATAAAATGATAAAACAGTAATTCCAAACTGATAGCAGTGAACAAGAAAGTAGCCATTTTCCCCAAACATGTGATATTAGAAAATCTATTTAAAATGCCATAGTAAGTATATGTGATTCCCAGCACATTTTTAGGCACACAATTTAGAGAAGCACATAGTCCCTAAAGAAAATGGGAATTGGCTGCAAATATATACTTTAACTAGAGCTTGTCACAAAGAGGCCCACTGATTGCAGAAAACTGTGAAGAAAACGGTAAAAATAGAAAAGGGCAAAACAAAAGGTGTGGCCACAGCTAAACTGGGGTTGAAATCTTTGAGCTACCTTTTTCCAGTCAAGAGATTCCATCCCATAAGTGATCGCACATTTCACAGATATGAAATACTATTATGAAATGATACTTCACTGTTTAAAAAGATTAGATACAGAAGCTACATTATAGAAATGTATTTGAACAGAAAATCGAGAAACCAAGTGGATTCAAATTTACCAAAGTAATATTAAAATTGAACATGGTGTGCTTAGTAAGGTAAGACAGTCGGTCTAAGCACTGATGATATATCAAAGGTTATAAAAAATGCAGCATCTGTGCTCACCACAGATCTATTCAGGCTCAGGGCTCAGGTCACCTCAGGGTAGCTCCATATGTACATGTGTCATGGATTCTGCTATGCACCCAGGGAACAATCCCTAGTGCAAAGATATCAGGTTTTTTTTTTTAATATTTCTTTTAAAGGACCTAGTATTCTTCAATATCAATAAAAGTTATACATTGTGAAAAAATGTTTTAAATAGAAGAATAAAATTATTTAGATTCTTTGAGTGAACAGAATTTTGTTCAAAAGCTGTAAAATTTGTCCACAATATCTTTTACAGAATAAAATAAATAAATAAATCATTTAAAAAAGTGTGTGTGTGTTTGTGTGTGTGTGTGTGTGTGTGTGTGTGTGTGAGAGAGAGAGAGAGAGAGAGAGAGAGAGAGAGAGAGAGAGAGAGATACTGAGGATAATGGGGAGGGAATGCAAATTTGGTTTTCAGTTAATCAGCTAAGAGCATCATAATATTCAGCTGATTATCATACTGGCAATGTTAAGTCATCCAATAAAATTTGTTTTTCAAGTCTATACTAAGGAGAAATGTCAGTTATCTAGAATCTTCATTTCTAAAGAAATACTTTGTAGTAATAATAGTAATGGTAACTAACACATTGTCTTAAAATAAATCTTAGCAGTCCTATGGGAAAATATTATTCCATTCATCAGAGGAAGCTGCAATGCAGAGACTAAATAACTTGAACTATGTCATACAGCAAGTGTGTTTTCTTCCCCACTATCCCTACCCCTCCTACCCATGAGGCAGATAGGAGGAAAGCAGAGAGAAAATAGGAAGGAAACTAGGAAAACAAGGAGATAAAGGAGGAGGGCAGGGGAGGCTGGAAATGACCTTCAGACAAGCAGGCAAAGAAAAACCATGAAATACCTTGATGCCAGTCCTCCTTCTCCTAATTACTCATCAATCATACCATTCTCTCTCTTTAGTATTCAGGGTCCAAACACAACATTCTACCTACATCCCTCTGTACTTCACAGAAATATGACTCTAACACATTTTAAAATATGTTTAAAAATATGAGTCTACCTTCCACAAAACCCATCACTGTCTGCCTGACTATAGGGCCATTCTGCTGCTTTTTAAGGTCGTCAGCAGAAACAGACCCGTGCGGGGAGCTAATTTATTGCAAGGGAAATATTCCAGCTAGATTCAGACAACAACATTTTGCAACAGTGCTCTAACTCAAAGGCATTTGAGAGTTCATGCTGAGCAGACACTCAGATAGGCAGAAGAAAGACAGAACTTGGACCCACCTAAGACCTTATCCTTAAAGCACATGCCATTTCCAATCTTTTAGAACAATAATGGCTGTTTGCATTTTAAATTGCTTTATAGGCTACAATATGTTTTCCTTTAAAGTGTGCCTTATTTGACCCTCCCACTGGATAATATTATTTTACAGGTAAAGAAACCAGCACAGAGATATTAAAGAAAGAGGAAGAGTAGGTATAAAGACTTAAAACTCAGGTGTGGTAACTAATAATATAGTTCTTTGCTCATAACCGTCTTCATAGGCATGGAGCTAATTCTGAAAACTCAAGTTTAAGATTAAATACTAAGTTGTTGTTTCTAAGCATATAAAACTGATAAGAAATACAGGGTGGGATTCTCTATCACTATGAAGTAGGCGTAATTTTAGATAGTATCACTATACTATCTGAAATTAGTAAACTTCAATGTATGTCTTTCTTTCCATTTAAAATTAAAAGCAAATCTAATAAGTTTTTTTCAGAATCTAGAAATAACTTAAAAAAAAAAAAATCAACTCCTTCCATGCCGACAAACCAAAGGAAATGAAATCTGTCTACAGCACACTAGTGCCAAACTATGGTAGTTAAATACCTACATATAGATCAGATGCAATGAAACTCAAGAACTTTAGAGGACTATTTTGTGTTGATAACCTTAGTAGAAAACTATTTCAGAGTGTCCTGTCATATCCCCTTTATTTCAGTCTTTCATATATTCTGAAATGAAGAAATTTCATTATATAATTTAAGTGGAAATACTGCCAGTAACATATTTTTGAGTCTGTACAGGACACTTCTTGGATTAGATTTGGCTGATAAAGGCCTAAAACAGAGCTCAGTCCCCAGAGGATGGCCAATTTCATTATTTTCTGAGATTTATTTTATCCTTGCCAGGCTTCTTGGGAAAACATGACATTTGTTGGAAGAGCTGGTTGGATCTGTTGGGAGGATGGGAGCATGAACACATGACCCCTATGGCGGGTGTGCCCAGGACCTATGCATTTGTATCACCTGAGAACTTGTTCAAAATGTCAATGTTCCCATCTCAAACATATTGGTTCAGAAAAACAGCAATCTGAAGTTTTAATCAGATCTCCAGATTTATTGTTGTAGGCAAAGGTTTTGAGAATCTCTCCTAAGAAATTCTGAACTGATGATTGGAAAGTATCAACTTCAAGTAAAAGATATGACTTTAAATTAAAACAAGAGAATGAATATTTAGGGACTCCCTAAATTCATATACTGTGATAGTATTAGGAGGTGGTACCTTTGGTAGGCTGAAGACCTCATGAATGGAATTAGTACCTTGTGAACGAAACCCAGGAGAGCTCCATTATCCCTTTCAACATATGAGATCTTCCCCCACAAAAGATTGCTGTTTACAAACCAAGAAGCAGGTCCTCCCGGACATTGAATCTGCAGCACCTCAATCTTGCCCTTCCCAGCCTCTAGAACTACAAGAAATATATATAGGCTGTTTAAGCTTTCCAGTTTCTCATAGTTTGTTATAATAGCCCCAAAACATTAAGACATGAGGATAATGCAATATTTTTTTGAAAATATTATTCCTTACCACATGCCCACATATCCACTGGTTTTCCATAAGGATCTTTACGTAAAACTTCTGGAGAAAGATATCCAGGTGTGCCAGCAAAACCTAGGGAAAACAGATGTTTATTATTTGGTATTAACATGACAGAATCAATGATATAGGAAACTAAGAAAACTTTTTAGTGGCTTTATCAAATGATATGTTTGTCATTTGAAGCAAAACTTCCAGAGTCCTGAAGTAATGTAGACTAGTTTAGTTTTTCTTTTCTTTTTTTTTTTCAGTGTGGGGAGGGGGATGGTGGTACCAGGGATTGAACCCAGGGGCACTTAACCACTGAAGCACAACCCTGGCCCATTTTATACTTTATTTAGAGACAGAATTTTGCTAAGTTGCTGAGGCTGGCTTTGAATTCCTGTCTCAGCCTCCTGAGCTGTGGGATTACAGGTGAGTGCCAGTGCACCAGGCTAGTTTTTCTTTATACTAAGTAATCAACACTAGTCTATCCTGCCTTGTAGTTTATTTGGAGGAAAAAATACACACACACAAACACACACACACACACACACACACACACACATCTTTTATCCAGATATGGAAATCTATCTACTGTGTTGAGCAATCTTGTATACTTGAGGCCACTTTTTGGTTAGTAGTTCTTGTATCACTTATATGAGAGTTATAAATCTGTAAAGAAATAAGGAGAAAACTGGAGATAGGATAAGGACCCTGAAAATGATGATAGTTATCATGATATCTAAATAATGGTATTATGAGAAGAAGGCACTTATAAAATAGAAGGATATAAAACACAGAAACTAAGGATACAAAAGTCTATTGGGTGGGTATAGGGCAATGAGGCTAGAGATGGGACTAAAAGTAACTAAATATATCAGGAAAAGAAATAAGTCTAAAATATATCCAAGAGCTCAATATATACTAATAAAATATCAGGGTGTATTTGTAACTAGCAACTGAAGAGAAGACTCAGGAACATTCAAATGTATCACTATTGTATGTGTACCAACTAGACTTTAAAGTTAAGAAGATCTGGTAATAGAGATTAGATAGCAAATATGAATCAGTGTAGAATTCAATAATGTGCACTAACATAACAAATCTATAGCTAGTTTTAAAATAGAGTAAAATATTTCTTATTTCTGGAAATAATAGTTTTTCAAATAAAAGTTATCTTGAAATCATGAAATATAATTATTTTCATTTAAAAGTTTTCTCAAAAAACACTAATGAAAACTGAAAATATCTTTTTTAAAGGATATACAATCAGGAATTCCTTCAAATACAGATTACTGTTGAAGTACACTGTATATTTATTGGATTGCAAAGTACCCTTATTTATGTGACAAATTCAGAAAGCAAAGAGGTATAAAAAAAAAAGAACACATATAACACAGTTACTTCTCTGAGAAAAATAAGATTAGGAAATGAGGAAAAGGATTTTTGGACTTCTCCCTTTCCCCATTTTAAAATTCCCAATACTTTTCTTTTCCTTTGTTTGGAGGATGATGAGAAGATGTGGTGGACAAGACAAGAACTGGATGTGCAGTTTGAGCTTTGAATAAACCATTGCTAATCCACTGAGGGTTCTTCTACCTAAGAGAATTACCAAAGGTTCCACTGCTTTGAGAATTACCTGAAGGTGTCATGTGGAGTCACATGACAAGATAGGGATGGGCACAATTATTGCAAAGGACTTCCTAACACATCTGGTATACCATACCTGCCCTCCCCATTCCTGTCCCACCTCCTTAAGACATGCATGACACAAAGAGAATGCAATGAGAAATTTATGCCAAAGACCAGTGTGAATTCAATGTCCTGAGTGCACATTTTGAGATCCCTTTTCATCTGGCTCCCCTTACTCATCCAACATGATTTATACTTTTTCTGAGCACATGACTTGATTGATCCCTTTAAGGTCTCTTGAGAATGAGCTTCTTAATCTCATTCTTGATGATACTTCTATTTCTTGAATTCCAATTTTTTTTCTCTAACATAAAGTGGATCTAAATTATTTCTATCTTAGAACTCTCTTTAGATGCCTATAGTTCTCAGTGATCCTTTCTCATTTTGAATTTCAACTACACTTTAATATATAATCTATACTATCTAAAATTAGTAAACTTCAATGTATGTCTTACGTAATTTATATGGCCAAGATCAGGAAACATTAATGATATTCTCCCTAGAGAAGATAGAGAAGTAACTATATGTGAGTATATTCCACTATCTTTCCTATTCCCCTCCCTTCATTCCCCTTTGTCTAATCCAATGAACTTCTATTCCTACCCCCTACATATATATCAGAGAGAACATTTGGCCTTTGGTTTTTGGGATTGCCTTATTTCACTTTGCATGATAGTCTCTAGTTCTATCCATTTACTAGTAAATGCCATAATTTCATTCTTTGATAAAGCTGTCTTTAATGAGAGATTAAGCCCTTAAGAATCCAGGATTATTATGTTATATGCTATTAACAGGGAAATTAATCAGAGATTGTATTCTCCAGGGATAGCATATTTTTTTTATTCAGAAAAACCAAGAAGAATATCAAAACATATAAAGCAAAGAGAAAACAGAATTACTCACTGTTGAAAATGTATCCATTGTAACCTATTGCCATTTAAAAAAATAACCTTAATATTTAAAACAAGATATATAATAACAAGAAGCAAGATGGAAGTAAAATATCCTGGTTTTTGCTTTTCATTTGTTTCTAGCAGCAGCCAAGTGTTAGAAATATATTGCAAATATTATTTCTAGTTCCATAGGAGAAACAGGCTGATTAGCTAATTCTCTTTGATAAAACTTCTGCCATCTTATTAAAGGTAGTGACATAGGGTGTTCTAGCATTTTTGGCTAGTTAGAGTTTTTTCAGATAAACTTATATGAAAGCCTGAAGAACTGACTTAATACATAACAAAGAGACTTGCTATTTTTTTTAAATTAAAATAACAAGGTTTTTTTCCTCCTCTAAATATGGATATTACATTTAAAAAGATAAAATTAATCAAAATTGAGACCATGATGGCAGATAATAAATAGCTATGAAAACAAATCATGCTTATTAAAACATCTCCATTCCCTATATATCTATCTATAGTATATTCAAAAGAACTTTACTATATACCATGTGCTTTTTTTAGTTACTATGAGGATTTACTTGAACTTGGGAAGAGTGGGAGGGAAGGAGAAAGAGAAAAGAAATGCATATTTTCTTAAACTTGGAAACAAAGTTTCTATACTTCTAAAATGTGGAATCTCCTTGAAAGTTAAGATGCATCTGTTTAAAAAGTCTTTACAGGTACATTAATAAGATCTTAACTATTGAAAGCACATCCTGATGAAAAAGTGGGAATTTTCCTGTTGATCCATTGCTGTTTCTCTGTGACCAGCTTGCTTTTAGAAATGAGTTGTCACAATTTGAAAATCCATGTACTTTTATTTGGATGCTATTGCATTTGCTGAACTGATACCCAGGTTTTTGTTCACTGTTTCACTAAACAACTGCCACTGAATAGGCAAAAGCACTATGACAATGTTCCATACCAAGATTATTTTGAAAACTTACTGAACATCATTTATAGCCTATCTGCATTCCCCTGGACTACTTTACTGGTTTCCTAACAGCACCATGAAGGAGTGTTCATGATAGCCGTTTAGAAACAGGATAGTGGCCCAAGAGAATTAAGTGACTTAAACAATGTCATTCAGCTATTAAGAACCAGAGCTGGGATGTAAGTTCAGGTATTCTGATTCAAAAAGTAGATCCCCCACCTCCCCAAGTCCTCTTAAACTACATGTGATCTAGCAGAGGACACAAAACACAGAGATTTAGGGAACACAATTCCTACACTCTTGTCATCAAGCCAGTGTTGCTGGGGTTAATGTCGTGCCTCAGTGCTGATGATAACAGAGGCCTCTGTGTTATTCCTGGTATCCAATCATCATCACCCTGCACCCAGTCCCAGTGATTATATCCCTGGACCTAAGTTCCTATTTCGGTATCCTGCCTCATAAAAGTCTCTCATGAAGTGGGCTCCTCTTTTGCTCTAGACAGGATTAGAATATTGTCTTTGAACCCAATATCTGGGACTTTCATTTCTTCTAAACAGATTCTCCTAAAGTTCAGAGTCCCTGTCTGTTCCAGGGAATTTGCCTGGTCCTATATCCACCCTAGTTCAAACTGGCAGCATGCATAATTTGAATGACTGCTTTAGCCTAATAAAGTCTTTGCTTTCAGATTAACTATCCTTAACCATCCTCCACACTGCTACCTAAATCACTATTATATAACTTAAATTCAATTACATTCTTCTTTATTAAAAATTTCTCACCAGATTCCTGAAGCCTCTGTTTTTTTAAAAAAATCAAACTTTTGAAAGGGACCCCTCCCCACCAAAAAAATCACTCACCTTATTAACTACCCCTCATCCTAGCTAAATCAAACTTCTTGTTATCAATGTAACAGAAAAATAGTTTCATGTCCTCCAAGCATTTGCATATGCTGATCCCCCATCTGTTATGCCTTTATCTCCCATGCTCCAATGGAAAAATTTCCCATTATCTTGGACAGAACCATAGTTGTTAGCCCAATTATTAGTGCTTTCCCCAGAGGTGGAATTTCATACTTCCTCACCTGTGTTCCCAGGGCACCTCTTGCATGCTGTGGTGAGCTACTTTTTACCCTGCGTGGTAAACTATTATTGGCACAAAAGCCTCAACTCCTTGAGGGTCAGGGCCTTTTATTTAAGTACCTCTAGTAATTTTGCCTTGCCCATCTCTGTGATAGCTCACTACTTCTTGTTGAATTCCTAACTCTTATTACTGTATATTCCTTATCTGTGTCGACCATACTTTTCCCCAGAATATAGCTATATATCTGCATTTCCAATTTCCAGAACTAGGTCTTGCCTTCTTTCAGTTTGCAGTTAACAAGGACAAGCTTATTCCAATGTCAAAACGTGACAGACCAAATGACAAGTCTGAAGGTTTTAAATCCACTGGGAGTGGAATTGTGGTATGGAGACACTTGATGTAAAAGGTGGCATTAAGCTTGGGAGAGATTGCCATCAGGATAGCAGTCAGAACGCCTGACAAAGGACAAGCAGCAGAAAATAAGGTCTTGAATTAGGTTCCTGGAAAAGGAGATTTGGGAAGGCGGCCAGGTCACCTACTTCCATTAACTAGCTGGGGCAGATTAAAAAGATACAGGGGATCCTGGGAGCTATGTATACCTTAGGAGATGCTGCATGATAGGGATACAGAGAAGCATTTGCACATTAAATTAAAGAAGTAAGTATTTTGGGGGCCCTCTTTCTGTTTGTTGTTATTGTTATTCAGAGGGAAAAAAATCTGAAGTAAAGGCATTAAAAAATTGTCTAACTTCAACACATTAAAAATCAAAAGGAAATAAAACTGAGGCTTAGGGAAAGGTTATATTTTAAAATTCTACATGAACTATCAGGTAATACTGGGAAATGGTAGAGAGAGGCATAAGAAAATCAATGGATAAAGAATTTATTCCAGCAGAATATTGGGATAATCCATAAGCTTGGCTAGAAATACTATAATTTAAATTTATTTAGAGTTGATTTCCTCCCTAATTGTAAATGCTGAAGCGTAGGATACAGCATCCTTGGCATGCTGAGCACTTTGAAATGAAGGAAAGGGGCTCAAAAGTAAGATCTTCCTGCCCTTTGTCCTTCTGTTTTTCTCCTCCAAGTTTAGCCATGGAAACTTTACTTCTTCTTGCCAAAGGTAGGTTACAAATACGTGAACCCCTTTTCAGCCAGCCATAAAAACTAGAAATAATACTCCAAGCTTCCTCTAACCTTCGATGTAAGAGTTGGCCACAAGGAAATCCTCTGACCTATGTTGTCTGGTTGCTGATCACAAGACCCTCATTCCAGCAGGTCCTGCCCTGCCCTGTACCCAGGAAGACACAGAGAAGCCAAGAAGAATTCAGAAAGACAGGCCGTGGTGGGTTCCCCTCTGAACATATTACCACCAGGTCATGTCTTCTTTGGATATGTCATTTCTACATATCTGTATTTTTTAAAAATCAAATCTAGCATAAAAATAGAATGTTTTCTCCAAGTCTTTAGGTCTTTATTTCATATCATGTAAAACTTTGATTAAATAATCTTAGAGGGGTGCTGGCTATGATTCTTAAGATAGCTGAGGAAAGGTTTCAGAGCTTTCTACCTCTATATAGAAACAGAATTTTCACCATTTAGAAATTTTGAAATTATCAGATTTATCATGAGAAAATTGGCATATTAACAAAATAGAAGACAATTGAGATGAAATACTTAGTAAATACACATATAATTATACGATGTAATATTTTAAAGTTAATTCATTAATAAAATACATGAGATAGTTTGTCTTTTCTGATTACCTACTATTTACATAGCAGTCTTTAGTATCATGTGAGGATGAACGTGAATGATCATCTTTCTCTCCGAAAAAGTATTCTTTTAAATTATAACACTCCTGTTAATTCTTAGCACAGGATTGTATTTTCTCTCTGTCCTTTGAAGAAAAAGGTATATGTGTTACTGTTCTCCCTTCAGGATTTTCCTTAACTATTTCTAGGTTATATACCTTTTAATGTTAGGTTTAATATCTTGGGGTCCAATATCTTAAGAGTAGTCAAGATGTTGCTGGGATGAACATTTCCACTTTATTTTGGCTAGGAAATGGGAGTAGGAGCCAGGAGTTCGTATCCAAAAGATTGTAGGTAGCGTGAAGGAGAGAGGCCCTACTTACCAAACCATGCCTGCTGGTCTCCTTGAACTTCAATGGCTAAGCCAAAGTCTGCCAGTTTCACAGCTGCTCCCTTGGATTTGCTAGCTAAAAGCAAATTCTCAGGCTTTATTTAGAAGGAAAAAGAGAGAGAGAGAGAGAGAGAGAGAGAGAGAGAGAGAGAGAGAAAGAGACTGAAGTGAGAACCTATTTTAAGTGACTATACAAAACTAACAACATTTTTACTAGATTAGGGGAGAAAAAAAAAAAAAGTCATGCACTGTCATCTCTCCTGGAGACTGTCATTCCTAAATCCCAGGGAAAACATGGTTAGAAAATGATTAAAAATAATCATGTGTGCAGGCTTTAGACAGATGCATAAATGTTTTGAAGAGTACTGTACAGAGGGGAGAGATCAAATAAATGAGAACACCTGTCTTGACCTGCTCACATGTTTCCAAGGACCAGTTGCAGACTTGGCCACAGACATTGACTTAGAAGCCTAACAGAGCACAGACATTTTCAGCAGAAGGAAACTTGGCAAAATGATAACAAGAATTGGACCAATCTACAGACATTTGGCAAATGAAACTGTGCAAATTAAATCCTAGTTGACTTTAAGAGTTTGGACCCAAATGTAGTGATTTTGATTCCTCAATGTTTCCAAACAATTTCTGTATAAATTTTGGAGGCTTAACTCTGAATTACGTATTAAAAAATGCTGTCATTAAGAATCTGTTTATTCTTAAAGGCAAAAAGAATATACTGCCATTTGCCAAATGTTATAGTTAGCTTTTTCTTCTTTATAAGCCAGTTTTTTAAAACATAATTTACATTTCTTCAAAGTGTGACTCAAGACATTGCTTATATATGTATGCTCCCATCTCAAAATATGGTGGGAAAGATCCATTTCATTTTCTGGGTAATTTATCATTACTCCAGGACTAATAACTCAGTCTTGGACAGAGGCCGTGTCTACACCATTGTTTCCCAATCAGCGCATCCAGACACATTGGTACTTTCAAAATAAGCACCATGACAACATCTTCCATTTCCCTGGAACCCCTTTGTAAATTTTAAGAAATGAAGGGATTAGATGGCTAGGAAAATGAGGCTGGTTAATATATATAGCAAAGTCTATGCAGTCCAGTTCTCTGGATGAACATATGGCACTGGTATCCATATGGGAAAGTGAATCAAAATCTTCCTACTTGGCAATAAGAACCAGCAAATTTGGAATCTGTGTCTCAGACTGAAAAATATTGGGAAACAATGGACACTACAAGTGCCAAAACTATTGTTTGAAAATCTAAAAATTTAGTCCATCAAGCTGATTTTGTTTGTATGTTGACAAATAAGCAATTCCAGATTTTTTTCACCAAATTGGCTACTTTCTTCTTACTGAATTAGTCAGTTCTGTTAGTTGTTTTGACCTTGTGTAAACACAGCCCAAATAATTGTTTAATTTATTAATTAAGCCAGCCATGCAAAATAGCAAAAAACCCATAACCAGAACTTGGAAGAAATTAGGTTAAATCTATAAGAAATTGGAGTGTGGGAAAATAAGTTTTAATTGAGTTACCAGAATTAAGGCTATTGCTGCTCACTGCCATCAGATTCATCACTATCATGATAATTTGTAAATATGAGGAAACCTTTGTAACTTTTTAGGGCTGATAGGACTTTGAACTACCTCAACACTATGTAAATAATTTAGTTTAGATTTTAGGATAAGGATGTCTTCAACCTAACATTTGAAATGATTTGGAACTCTGGTTATTTATCAGTATACTGAAGTATGTATTCTTATTAAAATAGTCACATTTGACATTTTGCTTTCACAACTAAAATTTCTGTTCCACTACATTCATGCATTTTCTAATTTAATTAAGATACAATGTCCAACTTTTAATTTATGGAATAAGTAACCTAGACAAACCCCATCGATAGTAAGCAATGATTGAGTCTATCTCTTTTTGACCTTCACATTCAAAAGCATTGAGCTGTCAGAGATGGTTGCTAACACATATCTGACCTAATTTGTCAAGCACAGACTCATTCAAGGGAAGAGTTCCAATCACTTAAGGAATTACAGCCATTGTAGAACTTTTAAGTCAAATGGTTTTGAAGCTTGTTGAGCAAATGCCAATAACATTAGTAAATAAACTTTTTAAGAAATTTAATGTGTTTTTACTCTTATCACTGAATCAGAAAGCTCCTGGACAGTGCTGTGTGCACTGTGCCTTCAAATACCAACTCTCTGCCAATTCAGAAGAAATGGAACTCCTTGAGTTTTATCATGAAGGACCACTGAATGACTGGGGAAAATATCCATAATTAGAGATACCTAGAATACTTGACTGTGGGGTCATCCAGGAAAATAATAAATCCATCTGGATTGGTATTTCACCCTACACCCATGAAGACTGTTCAGCTGCAGTTATGGACAGGAAAAGGCAGGGCTATTTCAAGGGGATTGTATATGTATTTAAAAATCAGTAGCATTGACTAGCTTTACATTTATGTATATCTTCTAGGCAAACCTTAAATACAGAATTGTGGATTGTAAGCTGAAAAAATTACAAGGATTATTGAATTAATTAAAGGATTATTTGCTTTTGAATATTTTAATCAGAAGATTGCTTTAAATAGCCAGTTTCAGTGAAATGCTGAAAATATCACACAACTTCAGGCTTGACTCAGCAACTTAGAGAGACCCCCCATCTCAAAATTAAAAATAAAATGAAAAAGGGGTAGGTAGTTCAGTGGTAAAGCACCACTGGGTTCAATCCCCAGTACTACCAAAAAAGTAAAAGAATAAAAGGAAATTATACAAATTTGGTTTCTAAATAACTCTTTGTATATAATGTGTTTGAATAATCCTGTTATTGTGTTCTGTGAGGGTGTGGAATTTCTGAAGAACATTTGAAGTAGGACAGGCACATTTACTCTGACTTTTTTGAATCACTACCACTTATGTACCCTCCTTGAAAATATATTGTATGACAAAAAGTTCATTGCCAAGTAGGTTAGTTCAAATTCTGAATGCCTACAAAAAGGAAAATAATTGATGGTTATATTTCACCAAGTGGGTAAGAGTAGACTCTCTCAGCTAATAAGTGGCTGCCTCCTTAGAAAGGATGTTTATTTGCTACTATGCCACTATTTTTATCTTCTATAATGAATGAGACAGGTGAGATTAGAAAGCAAGTTCTTTCAGTGAATGAGAGTTTTCCATGGAGCACAGTAAGATGACAGAAATGGGGAGCATGATAACTAAAAAGAAATGTGAAAAGTCTGGGCTCATGTGCTGGTCCTAATTGACAGACTCTTGGAGCTAGCTAACTAGCTCCTTTATCTCTTAAATAAATATTGTAAAGCTACTAAATTATGCCTCATAAGTGTCTATGGAATGATGGAATCTGTGGTTTCATATCACAGGACCTTTGTCCTCTGTAGAGATACCATACACATTAGCGATTAGCTATGATGGTCCAGGGCAGCTGGCCATTTCAATTGTAGGACATCTAATATTTAATGAATCTATTATATTAGTCTTTATTTATTGAGATTAGCTCTAAATTCTTACAATGCAATCACTTTTGGTTTTTTTTTAAATAGATTCTACTGACATTCTCACACATAGGTTCCTTCCCCACCCCATTGCTTCCTAATGATGCAGGATTTTCCATGACATCTGGTCTCAATGTCAACAACCATTTATAGCATATCAGCTGTAATGAGCAGCAACTGTTTGTAAGTTTTGTTCTGTATTTCTATATGAATACAATGACAACTTTTCTTCAATATGATCCAAGATTTTCTTGAATATTTTCAAATACATCAAAGTACCCAGGCAAGATGTGAAATCACTGTTAGAACTGGAAGAGACTTGTTAGAACTGGAAGCAACTCAGAGAGACCCCCATCTCAAAATTAAAAATAAAATCAAATAACTCAATCTACTGAGGTTCTAAAGAGATAAAGCCAGGACTGACAGCCAGAGTCCCAATTTCTTTCCTTCTAATGATGAGATAGAAAACCTTTCTGATGTTTTAAAAATGTTTCATTCTTAAGGTGATTCACTTGATATATATGTTTAGAAGAGTTTGAAGTATTAAAAAATATGTACACTGATAGTCAAATAAAATTAGTAGAAAACTTATGAAAACCACATAGTTTTAATCTTGCTTCTCCCATAGTTTGTTAAGAAAATGATTTGGCAAGGTAATGGTCATCTTCAAAGATTTATCTGGGCACATATATGATAACTGTCCTCAATAAGACTTAACCATAGGGAATATATGTGCGAAATCACATGTATTTTACTTCTTTCTTTTTTTAGTATTATAAATATAATAAACTATTACTTTTATTATACATATTATTTCATTCTTACGTTCCCTTGGATATTATTCTTAAGGAGTAAAGACTGTCTATTAGAGTTTCTTTCCTCTATTGGAAAATCTAAATATTTCAACAAGAAGTTCACCATTCTCTTCTTTGGTATGTTTTCAGTCACTTTTTTTCTGTGCTAGAGAAGGTGTGAACAATGCTCCCAGAAATAAACAAAATGAAAATCTGTATGAATTGAAAAGCTAGAGTGTCAAGCTTGCTTATTTCATCTTGCACATAGTACAAGTGATTTGAGCTTTTATCTTTATATGTAATGAATGCCTGAGTTCTTGTCCTTAGCATAGGGAGTTTCTAGCTGAGTTTTTGATGAGAAAGCGTTTTATTGTCATGAGTATGTGAGCAGGTTCACAAGAATCACTTGGTATTTCATTCTTCTTTCTTTCTTTTCCCTTCCTTCTTTCCTTCCTTCCTTCCTTCCTGCCCTCCCTCCCTCCCTCCCCCCCTTTCTCTTTCTTTCTTTCTTTCTATTTTTGGTACCAGGAATTGAACCCAGGGGTACTCAAACACTAAGCTACATCCCCAGCCGTTTTAATTTTTTTTTTTTTTTTTGGAGATAGGTTCTCGCTAAATTACCTAGGGTCTTGCTAAGTTGCTGAGGCTGGCTTTGAATTTGCAGTCCTCTTGCCTTAGCCTCCTGAGGCCCTGGGATTACAGGTATGCATCACTGCATTCCTCAGCTTCTTAATTGATTTTTAAACAATGGCATGCATTGTTCTTGCAGTGTAGTAGACTTAAAGAACCAAAGTGTAACTTCAGTGTGACTGTGCCAACTGTCCAGTTCTTTTACTGCCTCACACACACTAGGCACCCAATAAACTCTAGTATGCCTAAATGAATTATTAAAGTTTTCAAATATATAATTTGTTTCTAAAATATTTAAACATACATTATACACACATAATGTGTTCTTTAAACTTCAAACTTTTATCTAAAGATGTTTCTGAAAAAAAGTAGAATATTTGTGGTATTATAATTATTCAAAACAAAGTTAGAATTTGATATATCTACTACCTATAGTTAACAAAGATTAACTGAATGCTTTTCATCCTTCTCCTACCCCTGAAAATTAATTTCTTTTTTACTCTGATCATAAGTTTATTTCTCTGAAATAGTTTTAGAAATTCCACCCCCAAAATGTCCAGAATTATTCTCTTCATTAAAATATATATCAATATATCCTCATATCCATCCATCTATCCAATGATTTCTCCATTCAGTAATGCTGTTATTCAGAAAGGAAGCTCATAGGAAAGAAAGGAATTTCTGCTGAGGGAATTTGCAGTGTTTTGACTTGTTATTAGAAGATTCAATTGTGTATATAAAGCCTTATATCCACATTGTTATTCATGATTCAACTGATTCACAGAAATTATGTTCTGTAGGTTATTTTATTTTATTTTTTTCTGGTATTGAGGAGTGCTCTACTTTTGAACTATATCCCTGCCCCTTTTAAAAAATTATTTTGAGATAGGATCTTGCTAAGTTGTCTAAGCTTGACTCAACTTCTGATTCTCTTGCTTCAGTTTCCCAAGAAGCTGGGATTATGGATGTGTGCAACCAGGCCAAGCTTGATAGGTTTTTAAATGAGTGTTTATGACATCTGACCTAATATTTCCACATTTCTTGTGACATCAAGAATTGTCATTTGTTACTGCAAACTCTCTTTGACCTAATATTCTTTGGGAGGAAGAACTTGTCTCATATACTTACTCCCCCCAAAAACTGATTGTTTTCATATGGTCTAGATCAAATGTGGTAAATGCATATTTTTTCTTTTTTATATCTCCAGCTAGGGATGTGGCCTGTGGCAGAGGGCTGGCCTAGTATGCATGATGCCCTGAATTCCATCCCAGCACTACAAACAAACAAAACATTTTAACTACATCTCATTTTCCAAAGTCTGTTGGCCATGTCAACTTATTAATTTTCTAAGTAGGAAACCTTTTCTTTATACACTAGTCTACTGTCAAAGTATGTTGTCTCTATTCCACATTATAAGTTAAATATGCCTTATTTTCTTTATTCTTAATGATAAAAATTTTGTTTTTTCTGGAAGATTAATAGGCATGACTATTAAAGCCTTTTGATTTATTAACCATTTCCCAAATAGTTCATAAAACTAGTAATAAAATTATTTGCCCAGTATTATTTTGATCTACTCTTTGATCTCTGTAAAAGTTTCAATTCATTTAACTGAATTGAGAGGTGGTAGTAATTAACTATGTAGACTTGGAACAAAATTGCTAGGGCATAATCACATCTTACTAACTGAGTGAATTTGAATAAGTTATTTCACTTATGCTTACCAGATTTTCCCAAAGTAAACATGGAGACAATCACAGTACCTTTTGTGTAAAGCTGTTGTGAAGATTCACATTACACAGCATAGGGTTGCTAAGGTCCTGCCTTGATCCAGACCTTCCCAAAGAGTCCAGTCCTATCCTTCAGCTATAATAGTATAATTTTTCATCAGTGCTAGATGTCTCCAATACAACCTGGGTCCACATCAACTGGCTGCCACTGGCTGCATCTCAGACGATAGACTGCAATCCATGTATCCACAGGGTACTGCTTGGTGCTGTCTGGTGTACTTCTTTATGCTAATATTCTATCATTCTGGAACTTTTCCTATTACTTGTTTCTGAGACATCTTCCAGTTGCCTCAATCTTGGTTCTATGCTTTCGATCTGGTGGATTCCACGGGGTGGCAGTTAATTAAATGTTCTACTGGGATTCTTTGGTCTGAAGATATTCTCATCCTTATGTTATCCAAATATTAACATGCTCAATAATCTGTTTAAGATTGCCTTTTATATTATAAATATTTATATCATGAATATATAATTCACATACATTTGTATTTTTGGTTGAACTTCATTCATTCGAAAATTAAAAGAACATGTTGTAAGTATTTGCTAGGTTAAGGTTCTATGATAGGTACGGTGGAACAGCTATATTTCCAGTGAGAGGCATAAAGACAAATGCCATAGATGCAGTTGATAATGATAAAAAACACAAGATTTTCTATGTCTTTCTCTCTTTCTGATATGAACCAATGTGCATCAAACATTTTAACTGAATACAAACTAGCATATGAGTTGGGATAAGGAAATGAAAAAAAATATATGGCAGAGGTATACTGCAGGCCTCTGTTTATTTAAAGCCTGGTAATAAACTTCAACAGTTCATCTCTTTTCTCCATTTTACTGTATTGGTAAATATACAATTACAAGCAGAATATTTATCACAAAGAATATCTATCTTGATAAAAGGCATAAAACAAAGCTGGGATTCAGAACACTCAAGGTGGGCATATGCTGCTTCCAATGCACATGCTCTGATCCTCTTAGTATGATTACAAAATGCTCCACTGAAACAAGCACCCAGAATCAGACTCAGTGGTGGTCCACCTAAGTCATCAACTTGACAAAACTAGGACAATAATTACAGAAGTCATAACATCTCATAATTTCATCTCTGTCCTTTCCCAAGATTAGAATGAGAATGGAGAACAAAAATTCTCTTCCACTTTGAGAGAAATCTGATGGCTAACATAGCAGGCTGTTACTTTGGTAGTAATACTTTGGTAGTAGGCCTCTCTAGAAATCACTTGCCTAAGTTTTTAATTTCTGACTTTAGTTCTTATGTCAGAAAATATATTTTTCTTCACAGCCTATGTCCCAGGTTTAGTGCCATCTCTGATTAAAGTTCCAGTCTTTGAAGGGAGGACCTTATCACAGGACCCTAACCATTTGTGACTCCCACAAAATATAACTTAAAAGTTATAAAAGAGAATTCACACTTTTCACAGTTGCCTTTTTTTTTTTTTTTTCATTCTTGGCATTACTGGGCCTAGCACAAGCTAAGCATGTGTTCTACCACTGAGCTACACCTCCAGCCCTTTTTAAAATTTTATTTTGAGGCAGGGTCTCACAAAATTATGTAGAATAGCCTCAAACTTTCTGTCTCCCTGCCTCTGCCTCCTGAGTAACTGGGATTATGGGTGTGTGTGCCACTGTGCCCCACTTATGCTTAACTTTTACAGTATATTTCAGTTTACATGACATGGAATAAAATGTTTCAAGTAATAGATTTATGAAATAGAGTATTTGATAAAATAGCACAAATATTGTGCATGTCCATATGTATTCGGTAAAAAGGAAAGTAGTATTATAAGTTCTGAGATGTAACAAAAATGAGTTATATCTGCTGTACATAGCTAGTAAGAAATTTTGGGGTGACTGCCGAAGATATGAATTTTCAAAGGAACACATTGTTTTTCCTTGATCATAATGGGTACATTTAGTATAAAATCCTATCTTGACTCAAAGAAAATGCCTTTAGACATGCCTTGGCTTTGGTAGTTAAAACTCTCAGAATCAACTGAAATCAAATGATTCCAAGAAACGTAAGTCAGTGTTTTGCAAACAAATCACATCTTCATGTAACCAACTGTTGATATTTAGAAGTATATTCTTCTAGATCACTAAATGAATGGAAACTACATATTTACAATTGATTATAGCTAGGGAAGTCTACACAAAAGAAAACAGTGTAAGTCCTTCCACTGAACACATACAGTATTAGACATTCTAAATTTGCCACTTTTATACTAATGCCTAGAAAACACTGAGGTTGTAGACAATGAATTGAAAATATGTGGTGCGATATAGTACATTAGCTATTTCCCCTACCCTGTAGTTTTCTTTCATTTAAATTTCTGGGCTTTCACTATTTTTCTGAAATACCACAAGTAAAGCTAAAATGTTGAGAGAACAGAACAGAAAATTAATGAAAGAGGAGTATCTTTTTGAACTACTTTATTTCTAAATGATCTAAAACTATCTTGTCCTCAATGGTAGTAGACCCTGAGTGAGGTCTTAAAAGTATTAGGAAGTATTGATATGAGAACATAACTTATATGCTATATACACATTATCTGATATTATATGTATTTTCCCATCTGTATTTTTAGAAGACAAGAATATCTTGGTCCCCAGGAATACAAATACATTTAGAACCAAGAAGCCCTCAATGTCCTCAGAATTCCCAGAACTAATGGTAGGGGAAAGAGAATATCAGAGTTCAAAATGGCACCCAAACATTTGGGCCAAAAGTCTATGCAATAACACTTATAATTTTGACAATTCTTTTTTAAAAATATTTTTCGTTGTAGATAGACATAATACCTTTATTTTGTTTTAGTTTTTTATGTGGTGTTGGGGATAGAACCCAGGGCCTCATGCATACTAGGCAAGTGCTCTACCACTGAGCCACAAACCCAGCCCTAATTTTGAGAATTCTTTACAAAATGTTAGTCATATAAATATTAAATAACATGTCTGACAATGTCCACAGAAAAATTTTAAAATGGAGAAGAGATCATCAGCCCTGCTGGAAGTCACATTAAATGCTACATCTATTCCTAGGAGTAAGGGAATATAGAAATCTATTTATTGTTAATGTTAGTAAATTATTTCTCTCTGAATAAATAAGAATTTATATGTCTCAAGTGTGTATTAGAGATAAGAGATTGTGGTGAGAGAAAGTGCCTGGTGAGGGAAAGTTTTGGAAGGATTCCATACATTAAGCAACAACTTTATTGCTTATATTTTTGCCTTTACAAGCATAATTGCAGCTGAACAGTCATTAGGAACTATGTGGTGGTTTAATCTTCTCCAAAGGCATTACTCACCTTCAGGTCCCGATGGACTACGCCCATCTGATGGCAGTGTAGCACAGCCTCCAGGATCTGCTGAATGCAATGACTGCATGCAAACACCAGGGGGCGTGTGTTAGTTCCAAGCTTACACTCACTGTCTGTATACCCTCAGAGAGACTGGGTTAAAGTGCAGAGCTAGCAGACAACTGGAGTTGTATTTTACCTCCTTCAGTCATGTAAACATATTGCTCAAGTAGAGTGACTACTACCTCAGAACAATCGGAATCTTGCCAGATATAAGCCCAAGTGTGGATCAACCTGTTCCAGAAAAATCCATTTTGACAATATTTCATTTGGTTCAGGAGCTCATTTCCTGGCTATAAATTCTTCCAGGAAATGAACTGGAACACAAATATAATCTCTGTAGTTATTGTGCTCTGTCTTCACCCCATGCACAAAAACTGTTTCCCTATTCTCTCCCATTTTTTCTGGTATCATTTTAAAAGCTGTTACATTAGCAGGCAAGACACCATTAAGGTTAAATTAGGATACATAATGAATTTTTGATAAATCATTAACTTTTTGTGCTTTAATTTAGCTGGCAATTATTATCTTTTGCCTAAGGGTTCGTCAGACTCAAATGGAGCAATGTGTAACCAGTTGTTCTGCTACAGCAACCCATGGTCTCAGAACAGAAGTGGTGTTTAAATCTACAGGCGGACATACATCACAGGCAGAGTTTATCTCCAGGTTAATGCGGGACAATTGAGGAAAGTCTGCCCCCAAACTGCCTCTGGTGGTTTATTGCTTGGAAACATAACAGGTTGTATTCTTCATAGTGTCCTTCCCTTTTTGCTATGATGTATATTTAGCCTGTAGATAAGCAAACTGAAAGAGCCATCATGCATTATCATTTCATCATTTACTCATTTCAGGAGAAAGTGGGAAAGGCAAAGGAACCATATTAAATAACCACCCACCCTGCCCTTTCCCAAGAAAACAACAACAACAACAAAGAATCTCCTTTGATTCAGATTTATGGACTTCATATACTGACCTTCAGGTCCCTGTGAACTATGCCATTTAGGTGACAATGATTTACACTTTCTAGAATCTGCTGTATACAATGACTGCAAAGATACAAGGGCAGAATGGAAGGGAGAACATTTTAAAGGCACATAATCACATTGAATACAAAATAAAATGAAAATTCAAACGAAACAAACAAACAAACAAAAATTGTAGCTCTTCACTTTGTTTTTAGCTTTACATCAGAATTAAATAATGTCGAATAAAGCTAATTTTGGTTCTAACAAAAATGACATCCAACATAGAATTTGTGACAGGTTCAGACAAAACAATTTGAGCTGTGTTTTTTCATTATTAATTCTACAAATTAAATCATCCAATGCAAAACTTGAAATTTCCATATTTAGGAAGAAAAATTTATAAATAATTACCAAAAATGTTCTGGGAAAATTCTCCAGAGAGATAAAATTTCTAGGTTTTTCTCATACACATCTAAACTGTTTAACATCTGAGGTCACAATTAAACATAGGTGTTGAAACAAGAGGGTAAACACAGATGAAGTGGCAGGTGAAACGAGGATTTAAAAAAAAAAAGGGACACATTTACCATTTTGACTCAGAAGTGGTGTTTCCTGTATAATATATCAATAGGAAAACTAATGCAAGTCTCCAATAACAGAGGGAGAATTTAAAATAGACTCATGACATAAAATAAACCCTCTTCAGTATAAGAATACCCTGGGGAAGGACTGGGGAGCTTGCACAAATAAATAAATAACACATATATACATCAATAAAAAATTTAAATCCCCTAGAGCACTGGTAATTGTTAAACCCACTTCTATACACTTTAGTGAAGGGAAGCTTTTGCTTATTACTATTCAAAATTCAACTTTTATGCTATTCTTAATAAAAGCTCACTAATGACAAATAGACTGCTAATTAAAATAGAAGAAATCATTTGACTGCGACCCATAAGGTCCCATGAGCTGTTATCTGACATACAATAATGCAGAACATATCACACAGATGAATTTTGTAAAAGTTCACTGTGCAGTTCAAGTGCAAGTATGAACAGAACTACATTCATTTAAGGGTGGAGTGAACAATTTGATAAGGACATTTTCAATCATTTAATGTACAAAATAATGCTACTCTAAAAGAAATTGCTGAATTTAAAAAGTAATCAGATTTATTATAGTATAGACATAAAAAATTGATGATTATGATTTTGTAGCTCAAGTTCTATCAACAGTAATAGTGAAAGAATCTCACACTGGTGGTCATTGACTATGAAGCTTATTTGAGTATTATTCATTATTTTTAAATCAAGTGAATCTTTTTTCTTCTATCATGATATTCACTTCATAACCCCCTCCCTTTTTTCCTTTCCTTATTTCTTTTTTTCTTTCTTTTCTCAAAACACAAGTATAAATTATTGGGCCTAGGGAATAATAGAAAATAAAAAAGTAAACATTATTCACCTTTACAATTTTTGACTAGTCAGGATAGATTCAACTCTTAATTTTTTTTAATTATAATTTTTGGTTTTTTGTGGTGTTCAAAACCAGGGCTTTGTACATGCTAGACCAGTGTTCTACCACTGAGCCACACTCCTTGTTTCTCAGTTCTTAAATTCTTTAGAACTACTAAGAAAACAGACTTTTACAAATGTTTTAAGGAATATACCCCTTTGTGCTTGTAACTGGAAGAGAATGCTTCTCCTTCATTTTTTTGTAGGACCTATCCTAAAAATATCCTATCGTTCATTTTCAAACTTAATGTAAGCATGCATATTAAATAATACAACTCACAGCTTCTGACCTATTGTCTATAGGACTCTTCAACAGTGAATATAGTCTCTATCTTTATTTGAGCCAATACTGTTCAAATAAATCAGCACATTTAACATAACGTTGAGAGACAAATTATATTCCCTAACTTGTTTACTACCTTGATTAAAATTATTACTCTCTCTTGGCAAATGGGCAAATGGTTACCATAGGCCTGCTCTGAGACCCCTTTTCTGGGTTTAATGAAGATTTGAGGTATACTAAATAACTAATGATTCACTCTTCATGACGCAGGTGACACAGAACTTTCTATTTGACATTGGCAGTAAAAATTCCATTAAAAAATGAGAATGTTATGTACAGATAGAATCACAGAATGACATAACAGTAGCATTAAACCAAGTAAAATCTGAAATTTGGAAATGAGCTCATGTATGCATGTGCTACTCGGGAGGGATGGGGAACCTCCACTGTCAGCAGAATATCTGCAGAAGGTCCTGCTACAGATGCATGGCAATGGGAAGTTCTGAGAGCAATAGAGAATGGGGGCAGAAAGGCAACAACTGAATTTTCATAACATCTCATTTACATTGCTAATGAGCTAATTGCTCTTCATCAGTGTTCAAAATAAGTGACTACTACAGAATATATAAGGAATGCTGAGGAAATTGACACCATGCCATCTAAGTAATAGGCAAGCAAGTGCATTTCTGCTATGTCTCTCCAAAAAAGTTGCTTTGGGAAACCTAGGAAGTTCCAAAGTAGACAAAATGTTAGTCCTTTAAAAAACTTCTATAAAGATATCACCAATTAACAAGATTGGGAAATTACTCTTGAATCCTCTGAAATACCTGAATAAATATTTTTCATGTCAGAGTTCCAAGGGTTTTAATGAAACTTCCAAAGAGTTAAGGAGCCAATAAAAACCCTTTAATGAGGCCACTGGGGCAAATGGGTCTGTTACTGCTTTCTAATTTGATGTGCTCTGCTAAGCAGAACTTTCTGTGATGATGCAAATGCTCTGGATCTCTCTGTCCACTTGGTAGCCACTAGCCATTCGTGGCTATTAAGCCCTTGGAATATGGCAAGCCCAGCTAAGAAATGATCAAAATAAAATTCAGACCAGATCCATAGCTTTGTTTTCTAAGAATCATTCTAGAGATCCTTAGAAGAGATAAACTTCTATTAAGAAGGACTTATCAGGAAAAGAAGCCTGAGATGCTATTATGAAATTCTTATAAACGTGAAGTGTCATGGTGCATTTAAATATATAAATATATATCAAACAAGAGTTATTTGAATGATGATTCTTATATCTTGCCCAGGGCATGTTACTTACCTGGCATCAGCTTCACTGTAATATTCTCTTGCCACGATGTCTTCAAACAGTTCACCTCCAGTAACTCTGTGGAGACAAACGAGATAATCACAGTTTTTTAAAGAAAGGAAAAAAAAAAATAAACCCACAAAACTAGGCATCAGTAGATTTGCAACTAATGTATATACAGAACTTTTTTCTTGGATTTTTTTTTTAATTATCGAAGCAAGATATTTTAAAACATTATGATATTTACCTACCTTAACAGTCAAATCTCTTTAACTTAAAAATTTCATCTTTTCTATTTGTTTGTGTATCCTTAGATTCTGAGATCATGGTTTTTCTGTATGCCATAAATACATTCAGCAAATATCTTTTACAGAAAATGGTTTCCCTTGAAGTCTTCATTTTGGTTCTCCATTATTAATTGAGGTCTAACAAAATGCATGGCATAGATTAGGAACATTTTCTGAATAAATAGAGATGCTCCACATCACAGCTGGATATGAGTTTGCATGCCACATTTCTTTGCACATCTTTTCAACTTGTGTGTGTGTGTGTGTGTATGTGTTTAAACATATATACTTTTCCCCTTACAAACACATATAGAAATACGTTTTTCTCACAAAAGTGGAATCATGTAATATTTATAAATAAACTAATTTGTTTTCACATTATATTAAATCAAGAACACCTTCAGATCAGAAGCATTTTTTCCTGTTTAAAATAACAGTAGCAAAATGAGTTATTTATAAAAATATTTACATATTTTAGGGTATCTCTAGAAGAAAAATTCTTACAAGTAAAATTTTGGGGTCAAAAAAATGTCAACATTTAAAATTTTATTAGGATGACATGACAAATTGTCGTCCCAAATGGTTGTGTACCTAAGGCTGTGAAAGTGCCCACAAGCCCAAATTATTTAATATTTTTATTAATAAATAAATTATCTAATTTTTAAAAAATGTTAGGTCATATTAACATGAATGCCTTTACTATTAGTTAGGTGGACCATTTTAACATGCTCATAAATATGAGCTATTTTTTTCTTCTGCTATAATCTGGCTTGATTTTAAAAGGAAATTTCCACTTTGGAGTTTAACTTTATAATATTTTATAATATCGAATCCTTGTTGAGCACTTACAATGTGTCACGCAGTGTACAAAGCATTATGTTAACTCACGAATTCTCACAATTGCCCTCTTAGGTAACTTTTTTATTCATTCTCTTTAGATAAACATGACAGTACAGCCTCTTAGGTAATTTTAACATCAGTTTATTGCTGAGAAAATGAAGGCCCAAAGAAGTTTTGTATCTTGCCAGGAGTACACAACTTTAAGTGGCACAGACAAGCCATCTACTGCACAGTGCAGCCTTTCCAGTAATGACATTGTCAGACTTTCTAGGTGTTCAGAAGGCATAAGTCATTTGACAAAGCACTAAGTGAGGGTTTAGAGCTTTGGGTTTGATCTACAGAGTGACTCTAAGATGTTTTTTTCTCTTCGTTCTCATTTGCCTTTCTGCTTTACGCTAAGAAATCATCAAATAATAGCATGTTTCAGAGATTGCTGGTTATTATTTTCTTCTCTATTCTTATTTTTACCCTAAAGGAAAAGATTGGATAGTAAAAATCATAAATCTGTCTGGACATTTATGCAACTTTCCCCGTCTCCATTGCATTCTGCAATCTTCATGTGGGTGACAATATTTTCAATTTTATTATTTTATATTTAAAATGTATAACATTTTAATGATCATCCAAAATTTCATAAGGCTTCTTCTGAAAGTCCTGATACATGTAATTTGATTTGTAATATAACACAGCTATATTCCTCAGCTAAAATCTATAATAATAATCATTCACAAATGTATCTTAGATAAATGATAAAACAAAATACTTAAATAACCAGAAAGCATTTCCAAGAAATCCATATTGTCCCTAAAATGATGATAAAAGTTTTGTGGGATTTCTTCCTTTGACTATGACTAACATTAATATGATATGTATATAACATATATAGAGATACATATATATCAAATATGTGATATATATCATATATTATCATATATCACATGTGATATATTATCACATATGTGATATATGATATAATCACATATGTGCTATGTTATCATATATATCACATGTGTGATATATTATCATATATATCATATATCTTTATTTCTGACCATATGTACCTATTAAACCTTGACTGATTTGTTATGTTAGTTCTTAATCTAGCATTAACACATATTGGCTCAATTTGCTGGAGTAATAATCAAATGGATTAAGTGACTTTGAAAATCATGCTACCCACTTCATTTATTGTAAGTCAGGACTTCACATGAGCTTAAAAGGGAGAAAAATCACATGCACACTAAAGTTTTACCATCTAAGGCAACAGGCTTTATTTCTTAAGAGGTTTGTATTGAAAAAAAATACAAAAGTCAGGAGAGAGAACTAAAGTCTGATAACTTTCAAAGAACAGCTTTAAACATAGTATAAGAGTGTTTTTGTTTGTTTGTTTGGTGCTGGGGATTGAACCCAGGGCCACCTGCACAAGAAGCATGTGCTCTAGCATTGAACAACATCCTACCTGAAGGAAGAGTCTTTTTTTAATGCTGAGTTTTAGGTTATATAGTTAACTATCTCTGACAGCGTTTTCTTCCTCATCTTCTAGCAATCATTCTTTTAAAAAATTTTTAAAAATATCCTTATGAAGTCAAACAACAACAAGTGCTGGCGAGGATGTGGGGAAAAGGGTACACTTGTACATTGCTGGTGGGACTGCAAATTGGTGCAGCCAATTTGGAAAGCAGTATGGAGATTTCTTGGAAAGCTGGGAATGGAGCCACCATTTGACCCAGCTATTCCCCTTCTCGGTCTATTCCCTAAAGACCTAAAAAGAGCATGCTACAGGGACACTGCTACATCGATGTTCATAGCAGCACAATTCACAATAGCTAGACTGTGGAACCAACCTAGATGCCCTTCAATGGATGAATGGATAAAAAAAAATGTGGCATTTATACACAATGGAGTATTACTCTGCATTAAAAAATGACAAAATCATAGAATTTACAGGGAAATGGATGGCATTAGAGCAGATTATGCTAAGTGAAGCTAGCCAATCCCTAAAAAACAAATGCCAAATGTCTTCTTTGATATAAGGAGAGTAACTAAGAACAGAGTAGGGTCGAAGAGCATGAGAAGAAGATTAACATTAAACAGGGATGAGAGGTGGGAGGGAAGGGAGAGAGAAGGGAAAAAGCATGGAAACGGAAGGAGACCCTCAGAGTTATACAAAAGTACATACAAGAGGAAGTGAGGGGAAGGGGAAAAATAATACAAGGGGGACAAACGAATGTCAGTAGAGGGGGCAGAGAGAGAAGAGGGGAGGGGAGGGGAGGGGAGGGGTGATAGTAGAGGATAGGAAAGGCAGCAGAATACAACAGACACTAGTATGGCAATATGTAAATCAATGGATGTGTAACTGATGTGATTCTGCAATCTGTATATGGGGTAAAGATGGGAGCTCATAACCCACTTGAATCAAATTGTGAAATATGATATATCAAGAACTATGTAATGTTTTGAACAGCCAACAATAAAAAATTAAAAAAAAATATCCTTATGTAAGTGAAACCATGTTATCACTTCTACGACATGTATGATAAATGTCTAAGAAGGAAAAAGTGGTATTTATAATAGAATTCATTGCTTTAAAGAGAAATTATTGAAATTCCTATATTTAATGTAACATTTCTATACTACAGTATTGTTTAATGGAGCACAAAATTAAGCAGTAGTTATTACAGAGTTTGGAAAAATTTTAGTGAGCTATGTGAAATATCAGATAATGCCACAAGTTAAATCAGTCCCATGAATAAACTGTTAGATTAATTAACTAATTAAAGATTTGTGAATAAATTGTTGGAGTTCTCCTATGATATGAAGCACATCAATTATATATTTGAAACTTTAATTACCATTTATGAATCTCTAGAACATTAGGGCTGATGGGGAAAAAGAGGATAATCTAGTACACTGAAAATATGAGACTTATTTATCAAAAAGATAAATATTTTTGTTGTTATTTTTGTTATATATTAGGATTTTGATTCACTTTATATTACCCTACAGAATGATTTGTCCTTTTGTGTTTGTAATTTTCTACGTTTGTGATTTACATCAGAAAAAGGTCAGAAGTAGGTTCATCTTGAATGAAAATTTGTAAAATATCACAAATAATTCAGCTAAGCCTATGAGGCTGAGCAGCTGGTGGAGTCCAAGGTGGGGCTCTGGAAGGTAAGATGGTACCATGTCAATCAAATAAGTAGCACTGACTGGAGGTCAGAACTGGTGCCTGAGGTGGCAGAAGGGAAGCCAGGGGCTTCAGGCTGGAGCTGAGTAGGAAAAGAGGAACCAAACCAGGGCCCCACTAGAGCATGGGGAAGAGGCACTCTTGCCAGACAAAGGACTGGGAATCCCATCTGGAAAAAAGTGGGGATTCCTCTCGGAAAATTTATGTAAAGGTGCAGGATAAACCTCATGAGCTGAAAGCAAATATTTGAACAAAGCCAGCAAGGATGACTGTACATAAGTTTTAAATGTACATCAAGAATGAAGGTCCTCCATAGCTGTCCATTGATTTTCTAGGCAAATACCTCATAGGACCTTCACTTAGCTGCCTAATTTATATTTTGCCTATCTTTATCCCCATTGATACCCTGCTCTGTTGTACTTTAGCCATAATGGCCTTCTTCCAATCCTTCAAGTGATCTGAGCTCCTTCCTGCCTCAGGGACTTTTCACATGCTCAACTCTCTCCCAAGACATTTCCAACTTGTCTACCTTTACTATTTGTTGAGTAAAATCATCAAAACTTATCTTAAATTTTATATTCTCAAACTTCCACCCATCTAAATTATCCCTCCCCCACCTTGAATACTGAGTTATTCTTCACAATACCACCATCACTGTTATGTGTTGGTATGTAGGTGTTTAACATTTGTCTTTCCACCAATATGGCTCTGCAAAGATAGAATCAGTTCGTACTCCTTGGGTGTCAAATAACTAGTGCTGAGTT